AAGTAGTCATTTAGAGAGTCTGGTGGGGATGCTGGCTGTACCTTCTGCAGGGCACTGTGTGATGGTCATAAACTAGGGCTTCAATAGCAATATGGATCTTTCTCAGTTAACGTTTAGTTTCCCTCCCTGTTATCTAGTAACAGTGGTGAAAGTGAAGGGAACCGTGGTACCCTGGAGGCTGCATAATAGACCTGAATGAAAAAGCCTTTCTCTTCTCACAACACTTCAGCTAGTCCCCAAAAAAGTCGTCTACGATTGTCCACTCCCAAACGTTTATGTGCGACGAAACGTTTGATCGGCTTCTGTTCAGTCGGTGCACTTGTCAGATATACCTGGCAGGATAAAGATAATGAGCAACAGCTGATTTTATTATTTCGTGGCTTATGGGCTAAGAAGCTGACTATTAACTCAAACGTCTCCAGTTTGAGTCCAGATGGGAGATTCGTTTCATCTCTCGCTCCTTCATTTCCTGTCATCTTGTTGTAATAATGGCATAAAAAAAATCACGTTGGTCAACGGTGATACAAGTTTAACAACACTGCTAATCCTAGACTATTTATTTCACTTTCTGAAATAACATCTCATACTGGTTGGGTTTTCAAGCTGTAGCTTTTTGTAAATAACAGAATTGACAATATTTAACTCAAAGTAGGGCGGTCACTTTTTATTCCAAATTTGGAACAGGTCTGTGTAGCATACATGATGACCAGAGTCACTAGTATCATGGTGAAATTGTGCTTTGTTCGAGACTTTTTTTTCACATGGATGTGTAGAAGGAAAGAAGAGGTCTTTAAGATCCATTTGATCAGTTGCTATGTTTCACCATGTTTCTCTGCAGGTTGTAGATTTATTGTGTTCAGATTCACGTTGCAAGCACACAGAAGTGTACAACAGCAACACCTGGAATCCAGTCTCGTTGAAGGCATCTTCATTGGAAGCAGGTTCTGTGTTGTTTTTATTCTTGATAGTCGGCCCAGATTTGGAGGAGGAGGAGGAGCCTTTATGGTTGATCACAGTCAGAAAGTCAAGTTGCGAAGGCAGAGACAATCAGGAACTGCTGATGACTGTTGACAGACGGGACGGATGTTGTCGTTTGTCAACCCGAGGATCCCTCAGAGAGAGAGACAAACACAGCTGCTGTTCAGGCGTCTTCCATGAACTCCAAACAGCTTCAGTATCGACATACGAGGTGGCAGCTGGAGGCTGAGGCTGTGAACGGTCTTATTAGCATTGAGAGTCAGACACATTACCCTGCACATTTGAGGAACTGTGTACCAAATGTATTATCAAGCATTCAAAATGTTGGTGTCTTTTTATTGTTATTGTTCCATCTTCTCTGTGTGCATTCCTTGCTGGTTGAGCGATCGCTGTGGCAGATGAGCAAGTACTGGAAACATTCAAAGTCTCGTCTTTCTCCGCGTGTCAGGTTTTACAGAAAAAAAGATAGCTTGAAAAAGAAGTGGGGGTGAGAGAGGAAGAGTAGAGCAGTGGATATGTGTTGTTTTTCTACGTGCAGATAGGTCTGAGTCTTTGGCGAGTCCAGAGGAGGAGCAGCTACCGGCTAACAACCAGATCTGCAGAGAAAACACAGCAAATATTGACTCCGCCTCTTATCAGGGGAGAAAACGCTTTCAGTGTGGATGAACGTTCTCTTTGTTCTGTGCTTTGTTTTTGGTTATTGTGGGGGTTAGTTCCTTGTACCCATTAGCACATCAAGCCATACATATTAAGTAATTTCTGTCTGCAGAAACAAGAGAAGTTGATGGGAAACCCTAAAACGGTGTGGAAAAGGGTCCAGAGAGTGAGGATAAAGCTAGGCTGACTGGTAACGGATTAAAGAAGCCCTGGTGGGTCATAACAGAGCCCTGCTTTTTGATTCTTCCCTGTAACGGGGAGGATAGGGATAGGCCCGGCTTATTGCCCCAGAGGAAAGCAAATCCTCTCAGGAATGACTGCAGCAGCCAACATCAACACAGCCCTCTAGGTGCCCAGTAACAGAGGCAAGAACACTGTATGAATAACAGAAATATTCACAACAATAACCCACTTCTGAGACTTAAGTTTCAACCACCCGGTCTGGGTTTCAGGCCATCACTGTGTCCAGCAGATAAGGCGTTAATAAATATTGTGAAAAAGAACTTCTTGCTCAACATCTCTTTAGTTTCTGTCTCATCATACTTTTGATTCTGACCACGCTCTCACCAATTCTGTTGATATTCAGCTGTGTACAGTTCAATCAACCCCATAAGACTTTCCCTTATACAGCGACCTGTCAATGATAAGATTCCTGTATTTATCTGAGAGCCAAGATGTGAACGTGTTAAACTATATGTATTTAATGGAAACATATTTATTATTCATCTTCTGTTCTGACAGATTGTGTGGTTAACTATGAGTCAATCAACAGAAATTAATTGGTAACTATTTTGAAAATCGTTTTATTTGTTACGCAAACATGCTGTGATGACTTTCCTACCTCAGCTGCCACTGTGGTCGGTCACTGAAAGCCGCTCAATGTTATTGTCTGCCACTTCTAAAATCTGCAGAGCACTTTAATTATAAACAATGAGTTAGTGGTAGCAGGCAATAGAAATATGGAATATCATGTAATCTTAATCCCTGATGGCAGGTGACCTGGAATTCGTCTACCTGTGACAGCCAAAATATACCCTGTATTTGGCAGGTACTAATTTCACGACCTCATCAGGTTAATCGATGATGAATATCGTTGCTTCCACAGCTGGTAATGTGTTTCTGTTTACTTGCACACAGCAACAGAGTGAGCAGTTTCATTCCTGTGTTTGCGTTTGCAGTTGTTAATCTCGCCCGATGAAGCGAGTTCAGGTCTGCACAAGCATGGAGGTTTCACAAACGCACAATACAAAGAGAGTTCTGGATGCTGTCACCTCCGTTGTACAGGAGGTGTTGCAATGCTCATCAATGCATGTTACAGTGGGAGGGGCAAAGGCTCTGTTTTGTTGTTGTTTTTTTGCACTCTCCTAACTCTGGAATAATCTGGACGACAGAGGCAGGACTGTTGTCGCAGTGCTCGGTCTGTAAATCAGTATGTTCTCCACTCAAGTGCTCTTAAACTATCCTAAATAATAAAACTACATGAAGAAATGTTAACTTTTTTTTAGGAAGGTGTAGAATTCCATAGTTAGGAACTGAATGCAACTTTTTTTTTTTTGGGCATGAGCACGTCCAAACTTTAAATACTTGTCCGTGGCTTCCACACCGCAGCGGTAGAAGGAGAATCACGATCACTTTCCACATATTTTCACAGTTGGTGTATTTCAGCAGCATCCGATCACAATAACTCGCCCTGAATAACACTCACCAGTCTGCTGCTGTATTTGGCAGAGCAGCCTCGCAGACAGTAAACCTCGGAGCAGCTGACGCAGTGATGAGCGGCCTCACTAATGACCAGCAGGTTGATGTGACGTGTGACCTCGCTTCACTACGACATCACCTCATTGTCTCCGTTTTTGACGACATGCCATCAGCGTGTAATGATGGTGCTGCACTGAATCATGTGTTTTACAGTATGTTTGATGTTCAACAAGACACTTAATGTTGTGTTTATGGAGCACCAACAAGTTATGATGAGTCATTGAGTACAAGTGGTGGAATGGAAGTACATTTACATGTTCAAGTACTGTATACTTAAGTACAAACTTGAGGTACTTGAACTTAACTTGAGTATTTCCATTTTATCTCAGAGGCCAATATTGTACTTTTTGCTTTTTCCATCCCCTTCCTTTCCGGTGAAAACCACGTATCTCCACATGTTGACAGTGATCTTATTGTCAGACTGTCTGTGTTTTTGGCTGCTGGTCTTGGCTGTAGATTAAAAAAATAACTGGTGGTGTTGGGATTTCTTTTCATCTTGCACCTGCAAGATAGTACATAGTGTTGCAGCTCGCAGAACAACTTTGCATAAGCATTGTTCTGTATCCCTGATCTCTCTCTCTCTTTATATGTTTATAGTGTTGTGTGTTTGTGTGTGTGGCAACTTTTAACAGCCCGTTCATCTGTGAACTTGCAGGCAGCTCATGAACTTTTGTGATCATGATATTTCTGTCAGTAAGTGAAGCAGAAGTCTGTCTGAGCATGTGTGCGGTGAACTATGTGTGCTCCGGCTCGTGTGATCCACGAAGCGCTCTCTTTGTCGTTGACCTTTCCACATTCCACAACCTGCTCCTGGAAGTCAGCCGTCATTGGCTGCAACACTGCATGCTTTGTTTGAACTGGGCCTCGGGATTGGCCGGTTTGTGTGTTGTCTGGCTCTGATACGTGGAGTGGACCTGTTCCTGCTGTATTTTTACTCTCAAAGGAGTGTCAGCAGGCCTTTTCCTCATTGAATCTGAACCCTTGGAGTCTGTTGGATGGTAGATGATAGATAAGACAACGGCTGGCTTTAATAAAGAACTCTTATTATTAACTGTGTTTTAATCTACGTTTTGATGTTAAATTGCTACCTTCTGATGAAAGAGAGTGTGGAGGGTTGTGATTACATTTTACAACAGCTTGCATATTTGTTCAGTTATTCATTCACATTAGGCTGAAATATCTTCTGTGATGTTTGTAATGTTGCATATTACAAGACATTCATAACGTTTCCAGTTTGTTATCATATGCACAACAACAATCGCAGTGAAGCACTCATTCTAAGTGACTTTTTTCACCTCTCAGGCTCTATCTATATCTATATAAATAATATTTTAACCCTCTATTTTAAACAGTTTGTCCTCGTGTTTTTTTCTTTATTTGTATGAGATCTG